CTGAAAACCAGTCAGGTTTAACCCTAACCCTAACCCTAACATGTCACCCACTGACACATTAAAAAATGTTTTAGGGTTTAACCAGACAGGTTTAACCCTAACCCTAACATGTCAGTGGGTGACAGGTTAGGACCCCCCCAGACCCCCCCAATAAAGCAAAAATGCATGTTTCAGAGTGGCCTTTTATTGTGGCCAGCCTAAGGCACACCTGTGCAATAATCATGCTGTCTAATAAGCATCTTGATATGCCACACCTGTGAGGTGGGATGGATTATCTAGGCAAAGGAGAAGTGCTCACTATCACAGATCTTTTCAGATTTGTGAACAATATTTGAGAGAAATGGTTATTTTGTGTATAGAAAATGTTTTAGATCTTTGAGTTCATCTCATGAAAAATGGGAGCAAAAACAAAAGTGTTGCGTTTATATTTTTGTTCAGTGTACATAAGGTGTTATTTGGGTGGATTTATTTTTGAACTGTTGCACTGTTGGCAGCTTGACAACAAAGCTGTGAAAACCACTTCCTCTCCGCATTTTGGTATCAGGTGTGCAACCTGCAGAGAGACACATGGCTCTCTGTAAAGAGAATAGTACCTTTCCTCATCATTACCTGGTCTGCAGATGACTAGATTGGTGGTGGTAAATACTTCTTACAGTCATGAAGGAGAGCTATGGATGAGAGGGCTAATGAGTTGGACCATGCACAGTGTAAAACTTTATTATATGGATTTTACCCCAGCCTATATATTTGTTCTTGACTTTTCACTGATCCAAGCCAGAACACCTATAAACAGTCAGGCTTTTAGAACAGTATGGCTCCAGAGTCCAGCCTCCTGCTAAAAGATGAACGTATCAGCAGGATTCATAAACAGACATTCAGGATGATTTTCAGTGGAATGTGTTGGAGACAGATTTATTATTTCCCAGCAGTAATTGTTGTAGAGACGAAAGCCTTATTCGTCTTGAAACTCTAAAGCAACATGCTCTCATGTCTGAAAACAAACACACCGACAACACCTGAAGAAAGCAGCAGATGCAGCCAGAGTAAAACACCGCAGTGGTCTGCGCGTGCATGTGTTTTGGTGCCCGCGTGTGTTGTGCTTCAGGAGGAGGAGTCCGGCTCCTCCGCTTGATAACAGGCTGCTCCTCGACTCTTATCTCCCGTTCCCCGCCGTCCGAGCAGCGGATAACCTCCGGACCTGCTCCAGGATTTATTTAATTCTTATGAACCTTCACTAAACGCTGCAGCGCTCCTCCCATGGTTTCCCCGGGAGACTCCCCGGCCTCTACTCGACTTTACGGAAACTTTCGGCGACCGTTTTGGGGTCTTGAAAATCATGGAAACGTGGTTTTTGAATCACGTCCTCGGCGTGTCTCTGTCGGTCCTGCTGCTGGGTTTACCGGGGCCCCTCGGGGCAGGGACCCCCAGTAATAACGTCACGGACCCGGTAACGGCGGGATTTTACTCTTCACCGGCCACAGAGGAACTCAGCAGCATTGAAAACAATGCAACTTCAACTTCTTCCTCCAGCGAGAGTTTATCCTCATCACAGAGGAACATCCTGCTCACACACTCCGCGGAGACACACACCGCTGCTGCTGGAAGCTTCGGTAAGACCCCTGTCACCGAGGCCTGTGTGCAACAAGTGCAACTGTTTAGAATAAGACTTATTTCAGTCACTTTATTGCTCCATATGATCATTTCTGTCCCTGGCAAAGTTTGAGCTGTGTAAGTCACTATTTTTAATTTCCACAGTATTACAATGAGCATTAGGATTATGGGCTACAATAGGAATAAGACATCTCATTAATGATGCTAGCATTATAGCACTTAGAGATGGGCTATCAATAATTTGTGTGGGATAGAAAAGTATCTTATAACTTTCAAAGTAAAAAGTTCGAATTAAATCCTGTTTTTGTGGAGTAACTGAAATGTGAATGCAAAGAAAAAAACTGTAATGTGTCTCTTGCACAGACTGCATGCCCATATTGAATTCAACAGATTTGCATCCTAGACACAGTGTAATGAAACAGGTGTAATGTTCGTTTGCTTCTGTATAATAGAGCTGTCATTTTTTCAATATTTTCATTAAATATGTATGATTATTATTTTCTCAGTAAATTGATTCAATACCTTCTTGACACATTTTCAGAAAAAGGGATTGATCTAAAAGTTCCTGAAGCCAATTGAAATTTATCCAACAAACAGTTCAGTTGAACAACAGGTTTGCAAAATGAAATATTGTTATAGCTCTCTCCACAACACACAGAGAACATATACATATAAATATATAAATAAAGAATACCTTTTTAACAATAACATTAAACAAACTATATAAAGATTGCACAATGAGTAATAAGGAAAACCAAAGTGTCCTTTTTTGGTAATTGTTTAAATGTATTGACTGCATTATCTATTTGAAAATCAATTTGTACATGTGCAGCATTTAGGATAGCTTAATGCACCTTGATTACAGTTTTGCTCTTCAAATCTACGGTTGCTTTTATAGTTTTTTAAACACAAATGCTATTGTAATCTTTTTTTAAGACTTATTTTTTGGCCATTTTCACGTTTATGTAGAAAATGGGGGAGAGACAGTGCAGATGTGAATGGCAACAAAGGGCCCCAAGGATTGAATTGGTCGGGGGCCTTGCTTCATATAGCAAGTCCACTCCACCACATATTATCATGAATATTGTCATACTTCTAATGCTACAATTTGCCACACAAGTGGTCACACAACATTATACCATTACCTCCCCATGGCATTCTGCACTAGTATGTTTTTCTGATGCTAGATATTTGTAATTACATGTATTTATATAAGGGAGATTACTATGATATATTGTGTCACTGGCTTCTTCATTTAAACCAAAAGTGAAGCCAAAATACACTGCATACACTGATGCAACTGAGGTGTATAGACAAAACTGACTTTATGAAGAATATTATGAAGCACATCATGAAGCGTTTGGAGCTCCACAGAATGCAATGGGAGGGTCAAATGTTTTTATCAAAGGCAAAGAGTTGGTTTGAATGATAAAGTGGAAATGATTCACTTTCCTCTCCCTGATGTCACGCAGTTTCACCTTTCCTGTCACGTACCAGGGCTTCGGGTCACAGACATCTGGTGATAAGCCAAAAACACAACCATTCAAAACACTGCTAGGTCATACCAGCATCCATCCTCATTAATATGCTTACCCTACTGCCTAAATGAATATGCTAGTTGCAGAGCTTCTGGTAAACAGATGTGAAGAGTGACACTGACAGCCGTGTTAACAGTCAATAGCTGAGTGATAACCAGCAGAGAATCTGGGAGGGTCCCTCGATTGTTGCCAGCACCACGTTCCAGTCTGAGGTTTGTTGCCCTGACTGGATCCAGTGAGAGAAAATGAAATAATGAGAGAGACACATGCAGAGGAAGTGAGAAAGGAAAAAAAAGCGGCCCAGTTCTGCTCCCAGACTCCCAGTGGAGGGGCCGTTCTGCAGTTGAACTCTCCCCTCCTTTGGTTTTGGACGCTGGCTGCGACGTGTTGGCTGTCAGGATGCCGTCCAGCACCGACACTCGTCCTCAGAGCGCTGTTGTTCCAGTCCTGGGCTGCTGGAGCCTGGCCAGATAACAGGCTGTCAGACAGCACAGCCTCAGTGATGGGCAGAGACACAACACACACGCACACACACTTTGTACCCAGCAGACCTATGTGAGTGGTTTTCTTTCCTCACACATACACTTTGAAATAATACTTTTATGTTAATTATTCACCCATACCTTGAGTTCTCGAAAAACACTTCCTGCATGTCTCCTCAGTAAACAAAGGATCCTAAAAACCTATAAAAGTCACGATGTATTGAATTATATGGGAGCCACTTTTAGCGACAGCAAAGCTTTATCAAAACATATATTTACACACTCAAACAACTTGTGCTGTATAATCCATTTATCCACTCATTTGCTCACTACCTACCTACTACACATGCGTTCTTTGCAAAGACCTTACTACAAACTGCAAGTAGTACATCATAGTAGTAATGCACTTGTTTGAGAAGTATGTAATATATGGAGATGAACCCACAGATCACTCTGCAGGTCCCCTCTAGTTATTTTCAGCTCTTTGTTTTGGTTTAACAACGGTAAACAAAACTCGTGATAATCCCAATGTAAACTGCTTACCGTGCATCAATCCACAATGTAACAAATTAAGAAAGTTAACCGAATAGAGCATGGGAGTAAGATAAAGTACATTTTGGACTAATGTACATCCAAATGAATGCTAATGTTACCCAATGCCGGCTCAATGTATAAAAAAAGGGACTGTTTGCTAACATGCTGCTCCCCATATCAACTTTAAAAAATCATGTGAATGTCTTACAGATCCAGATTTCAAGTTTAAAATTATTCTCTTTTCTGATGTTAACATTAGTTTTGATAACACCAGTGGATTGGTCATTAGACAAGGATTATAATTATACCATTACAGTTTTGGTGGCCTTTAAGAAACTCATCTTGTATTTTCACTATCATCCTTTCTTTCTACGTGTTTTTCTTGTTTATCTCAACTGGAGGAATCAGTTAAATATATATCTAAAAACAATCTATTTTCTATTGCAACATTCTTCTGGAACTTTTGGTGATGTTTGGGTGGTTTATTTTGTCACTAAACAACATCTTAAAGCCGGGCTAAAAACAAACTCCACAGCCACTGAGTATGAAACACGCCCATGCTCATGGTGACAGTTTGCTGCCAGAGCCTTGTGCTCACTCAGCTTTAGGAAGGAAACGGTTGATTCCCAGAGGAGACAGTTACCGCCATATTTAGGACCTCAAACCTTTGTTAAAGCAGACAAGCCTGGCTGCCAGTTGTTCTCCACCCAAAATCATTGCTGCTGCAGCAAACAACAGCTCTTCTGACAGCATCTTCCCCCTTTCTGCAGTCTGGTGAGCACCCTCTGGTGGCCACAGCTGAAAGTGAGTTGCAATGTGTACAGTTGGTGATTGAAAGTGCAGAAACAGCCAGATACAATACAATACAATACAGCTTTATTTATAAAGCACTTTAAAACCTCCAGACCAAAGTGCTGTACAGTCAAATAAACAAAATAAACATACAAAAAATCCAATCCAACCCACCCCCATAACCCATTGAGTTACAGGTTACAGAGTACATTAATAATAAATAAAGAGGAAGAATAATGTGATTGTACTGTTTGGTACTGAATTATTACCAGGAGGAGGGGGGTACATTTTTTTAATTTGTTTAATTAAATAAAGACAACAAATAAAATATATTGTTAATACTTTTTTTATTTTTCCACAGACACTGAGCAGATACAGACCTTCACTGAAACAAGCAGCATGTCATTAGAGGCCCTGAATGTGTCTACTGGGCCACTTTCCTCCACCCTTGTTGTCGCCTCCACTGAGGGCAGCAGCAGCAGCAGCAGCAGCGGCAGCAGCACCGGCAACATCAGCAGCAGTAGCGGCGGCAGCACCAGCGGCAGCGGCACCGGCGGCAGCAGCACCGGCAGCGGCAGCACCAGCGGCAGCGGCACTAGTGGCAGCAGCACCGGCGGCAGCAGCAGCACCAGCGGCAGCAGCACCGGCAGCGGCAGCAGCAGTAGCGGCGGCAGCACCAGCGGCAGCAGTGGCAGCAGCACCGGCAGCAGCAGCAGTAGCGGCGGC